ACCAGCGTGCATATCTTCCACTTAGCACCCAGGATGCTTATTGTCATTCAACACAGCAACCAGGCATCAAAGGACTCATTGTAAGGCATAGGCGATTGTTTCTCTTCCTCATAAACACAGTAAACAAAACCAACACGTACACGTCTCGATGATTGCTGAGCTGCACACACTCACCAGGGACATAACTAGGACTGTGTGTATCATCTGTCTGCTTCTAGTAGGAACAACCCAGAAACCAGTTACCTTTCCTGGACGTTCCCTAGACGCTGAACATGACCCTTTGAATAAAGCCGCTTGCTACGTGTTTGAGTTTAAAGTCAGTCAATGTGTGCATTGAGTGACCGCTTATTTATTTGTTATAGTATCTATGACAACCAGGGATTCTTTGCTCTCTCACACAAACAAACACACATTTTGATGCACTAATATATAATATGTATAAATGCTTTACTAAGTGCAGAAAATAACCATCCATGCATAAGTACTGAAGGATTTATGCTGCCATTTTGCTCGTACCAACGTGTGTATGTTGGCGAATGTGAGTCATTCTAAATTGACAGGCAAATGACCGCTATTTGCATCAACATACTGCCACGCCGCCCCATTTATTTATGTAAGGAATCACGTTCGCCTAGCAGTATATTATGGAGAAAGCAGCAAGGCTGTTTAAGAGAGAAGCATGGCGCCTAAAGCAGAAAAAACAAGAGAATTGTAGGATTGAAAATTGGCTACATGAGCCATTTAAGAGAGGAAATGAAAAAGGAAACGTAAATAGACGGGCCACCCATGACAACCCCAAGAGAAACTAAATGAAAAGAGGAAACCAAACGTGGACGTTATATCTGCAGGTGTATAACCGGAGGAGACTGATCCTAAATAAGCAGTGGCACTGAAGGACAGTCCAGAGGTCCAACTTGGCTTGGGTCCAGCACTTCAGATCAACAAGCTGACCACCTGTGCTCCGCCTCTGCTCATCACCACCTGCTGATTTCTGCTGATAAAGAAAATGGAAGCAGACAGAATCCTCCCTCCAGCATCCAGAGTGCGACCCAGCAGATAAGAGTGTCTGAAAAATCACTGTTTCTGTTTTTTAATCATTTGTTTGCTTGCTATATTTAACCTCAATTCCTTTCCTGCTGTTACGACTAAAGGAGCATAGATAGATTGGAGAGCGGTTTGCAGTTCATCTAGGGTCAGAGGAAATGTAAGAATCAGGACAAACGGGACAAGAGGTCTGTATGCCTCAGCGGTTTTTGTTCTGAAAGCTGGAAGCTGTTGTGCAAATGCTTTGTGTTCAGCTCTAGGCCTGGTACAGTACAGCGGATTAAATTACAGATGCAGGTCAGTTACAAAAACACAACAGCAGCACCAGAGCTCCTTCTCATCATTGGAAAAAAAATGTTTCCAATAACAGCGAGTCTCAGTGAATGTCCGTGTCTGTGGCGTAGGTTATGCTTTGCCCTGCAGGGCTGGCAAACCATTAGACACAGTAGTGCTGAGCTTAGTGCACACATGGCAGACTCACTGTCAGCACGGTGGCTTAATTACTGTCTCCATCTCTCCAGTGAGTGTTATTCTCTGACGTTCATCCCTGCAAGAAATCCTCCTCTACACAAGAGCACTTCTCACTTTCTTGATGTACTCTGTAATCCCTGTAATAAATTATAGAGTAGTAATCCATGCAGTAAGGCGCCTTAATAGCGTTGTTTCTTTGTGGTGACATTACTTTACCTCATTCACAAGTTTAGTAATAAAGCGAATAAACCAACATTTCAGATGGGCAAACATTCAGAGGCTAGGGCAAACATTCAGAGGCTAGAGCAACCATGCGAACAGATTTCTGGGAGATTTCAACATCTCAAGCACAATAGGTGGCTTAATTAACAACTTTTGACACTCCCATTAGTTAGACAGTCGGTTTTCAGTTTGTAATAATCAACCAGGAGCGATGTGGCAATACACCTCATACTGCCCACCATCTGCTCTTTCTCCTGCTTTCAACACAGAATACCTGTTTACAGATACACTTTTAAGCTTGTTAATAGCGTGGTCTTTGGGGTTTTTGAGTCTTTTACGGCAATGTTGTGAGTGTCAACAAACGCCTGGTGGTTGTTTGTTGTGTAAGCTGTATTCAAACCTCACTGATCATGTGACACATTTGAGTGCATTGTGGGAGACATAACATTGAATTTTACCCCACCACCATTAAACTATAACACTCAAATGTTATGTATTCAATAGCAGAATTTAGTCTTCAATTTAGAGATTGTTAATCAAGGGTATTTAACACAAAGGTTATAATGACCTTGTTTTAAGTGGTATTTTTAAATCTCCTCTAAATACAATTACTTTAATAACTCTAGGGTTCCTCAGTTTTCCTGGGAAATGTATGACATGTCCTTTTTTTAAATATCCAAAGATGACTGTAGGTGTTTGAAGGTAAGGGAGGAACACCTGATGCCCACTCTCTTACACTTCCCACCTGTGTGACCTTCGCATGGCCACCAGTGACATTGTCATCCATCACGTGGTGTCTGCATAGTGTAACACCTGCAGCCACATCATTGTGACTGACCTGACTGATAATGATGCATCTGCCCAGTCTAGACTCAGACCGTGATTGGAAAATAAATGTGCAGAAAAAGAGTAAAGTACACATGAGAGACGGTCAAGCCACACATTCAACGCTATACGGTGTGGGGATTGCCCACAGTATTGAGTATGTAAGTCGCTTTGGATAAAAGCGTCTAACAAGTAACATGTAATACGGCCTGTGTTTCAGTTCAAACTAGATCAAATCATATGCCATGTGTCAAAAAATTGTGTTATTAATGTAATAAAGCTAAAAGTTCAACCTCAATGTTCCTATTTTAACAATAAGTTGATGTCCTACACTGGTACCACGAGTATAAAAAGGGTAAAAAGGTTTAATACATGTATTTTAGGTGTAAAGTATCTCCTTTTTAAGTACAAGACGGCTGATTACCCAGGTGTTTTAGCTCGGTAATTAACCATGCAACGCATCGTGACAGGCCTCATTTCTATAAATATAGCTATAACCCGAGTTAATATTGAGCAGGTACACCGTGTAACAAAAAACAAACTACTACAATGTCGTAGTGACTGACAAAATGAAGAAATTGTGTGAAAGATTCCGTTTATGTCGCACTACTGTTTGAGAGGAGCAGCGATGAACTCAATTCAGCTGCAGTTTTTCGAAATGAACCGCTTCGCTCGCGCTCATTCAAGTCCTAGCGTTAGTTCGCCCGGTGTTTCAAACGTTCGTTTTAAAAAAAAAAATCATCATAACGGCTGACAACGTTCGTTTTATAAAAATAAATATAACAGTTCAAACGTATGCCGCCAACCACTCCTCAATAAAAACTAGTCGATGTACGGACAGCAACGTGAACAGGTTGGGAAATCCAGCGAGCAGAGATAATCCCCTGTGGCATCGGTGCACATCTGTAATGGGAAGGGAAAATGGGGGAAATGCTATGGATGTATGACTTACCTCGTCGGTAAAATAAGCGGTCCGGTTGGTTTAAGTTAATTCCTCTCCACGTACGTTGTTTAATATCAACGGCGATATGTATATTTAGGTATATTCGGTAGACGTTGCTGCTGCCTGCCGCTTCTTCCTCTGTCTCTAGTATTTCGATGTGATTCTGGGGCGGAACTACACGCTTCGTCGCAGACAGCGGAGGAGCCAATCATGGAGGACGGGAGGAGGAGGTGCTCAACACAGAGAGGAGCAGTCGACAGGAGGTCTTACTCTGGAGCAGATCATGGAGCCCAGGCCCTGCCTCCAAGGTACGGGGAACAAATGTTCTAAAAAACTGTCCTCACGATATTATTTTACAATTTGTTCTGGATCCCATTAGTAGCCAAGCCCCTTTAATCTGTGCAATTCAGCATTCATATTTTTGTAATAGCAACACACCGCTGGAGATGCTGTAATATAAATGTCATATACAATGTGCACACTTTTACTTGGATATACATCTTTTTTTATTCATTCATTTTATTTTTTTGGACATTTAACTTTAATAAACTGCACAAAAACGTTAAATTGTTATTGTACATTTTGTAGATTTATATTTCTTGTAAACATTTATTTTATATTTTAATTTAATTAGGGCACCGACAGCAGGAGCGAAATAGCCTATTGATATTGCTCAAAGTTTATTTATTTTTGTCTTTTCAGACATTTTACTAAAAAAAATTATGTTTATATAAATTATGTATATATTGATATATTTTAATTTTATTGCACATTATTAGTTAAACTTATTTTTTATATTAATAAATATTCTATTTTTGAATATATTTTTATTCTAAAACCACATAATAAATAAGGTATTCTGACTCTGAAAAATCCTCAGTTAACTTTTTTTTAAATTAATTTTGATATCAAGGGGTTTTGGTATAAATCCCACACCCTCAAAATCACAACAACATGTTGACTTCGCACTGTACAAGTTAATCGCAAGCTATTTTCCCTGACCCATCCATCACCACATGATGTGGGTTTACATTTTGGAGATTAAGTGCTTACAATTCCCATCAAGTTTCTATTTTCAATCTGATTAGGTAACTGCACAAATCGGCTATGTAATAAAAACACATTTCATCAAAGGAAGCATAACATTTTAATGTTAGGTTTTTCCACCCCAGAAAACCCTGTTGATACACTTCTCCAAACTGCAGCTTCACAGAGCTGTTTTCGGGTTAAAAGCAGCTCTGTTGCAATGGTCAAATCGAATGCCTTGCTCAGCAGGGTTTCCTCTAGTTCTGAAACACCTCAAGCAGAGGCCTTCAAAGTAATGCTGCCCTCAATTTCAATCTGATTGTGTAAGAGCACAAATCAGCTACGAAGAAAACATGTTGCGTCAAACTGAATGACGCAACTTTTGACACTGGTGGTTATAATAAGATGGAAAAGGAACACTCCTCTTTAGCCAGAGAAACAATGAGAAAAATAGCCAAGAATAATCCCATAGTGATTAATAACAATACTTTATTTATGTACCAGCAAATTGGTTTGCATCGTTTCTGACATGTCCCGGCGTCTAAGCCAGACACGCACAGTACAGTAGCATACAATATATGAATTCCGGAGAATGTTTTCAATAAAGAAGAGCACATATTTGAATAACATATTTACAAACAAGCCAAACACTGTAAATAAAACAGATGAAAAAAAAAGAAAGATACATGTACAGGTCTTCCAAATATTATTTGCCACTGAAAAAAAAGCACAAGATGCTAAGTTAAGAAAAGACAAATCCACATTACAGTTTTCAGTGAATCAAGGTGTTACAGCAAACACAATGCAAATAGCAAATTGGAGTAAAGGATAATGACAAACATATAAAGATTATAACTGATAAACCGGGCACAATGATGAGAGAACTGTTAGAAAAAAACCATTACAGATTAAGACAGAACAGAAACCACACTTGTTATACGTCTCTAAAAACAGAAAATAAGATGCCTTTGATTCCAGACAAACATAACTTCACAGTGTAGATATAAATCAAACCCTTGAAACAGAATATTTGTAGAGGCTTCTTGTACAGTGTCCTTACACACTGGATGTCTTCAAGTTACTGTCCACCTTTAAAGCAAAATACTTTGAATGCCAGGTGACCGGAGCGGAGCTTTGGGACCTTTTTGATGCAAGAAAAATAATATCTGAAAACGTGTTCAAAAAACTATTGCAAAGAGGCCGAGTTGGTTCAGGAACTCGGTTGCACTTTTCAAAATAAATCTTCTGCATGTAAAGCGCTGTGTACTAAGAGACAGGGCAACCTTCAGCTGTAGCTCGGACAAAAGGCATTCATAAGGTTTAGAGCTGCATGGGAACCATAGAAGAGTAATCTGGTCCTAAGGGTTTTTCTCCTGCATTTACGAGGTTACTTTTGTGTTTAATCCTGATTTATGTTGCTGACAATCCACGTATGTTCATATACATATTCATATATGACACTGAGTGGCTGCAGCATCAGATTCCACCACACAGATACCTTTTAAGAAGGAGAAACGGCAGCAGGAGTCAGGTCTTGCACTTGCATTAATATCAAAGTCTTTGCGACTGGTGAGCTTCCTCGGCTGCACCTGCTGCGGCGGGTCGTGTACGGGACGGCTGTTCTCTGGCGCCCTCATGTGGAGCTGTACAGGGCGATCTGCTGCACCTTGCCCAGCTGAGTGAGCAGACGCTTCATGCGGTGCTTCAGCTGAGGCAGGCGGGCCAGAGGCTCAGGGGGCTCCAGCTCCCCGGTGTAGTCCAGCCAGCTCTCCAGCACTGAGGAGGAGAAAACACGGTTACACATCATGGGGTTGAGAGTTCTTTTAGTCTTAGTCCTTTGTCTAATGTCCCTGCTTGTTGAATTAAGTAGCTGTTTTTTTATTTATTTTTCTTCAAGTCAAAGCATTCAAGTCTTATCTTAGTCAAAGACGAACTCAACATGAACTATTTCATTGTGGTTCAAGTAAATAGAACCCCTACCAGCACAGAACACACAGGCCAACCCAGGTGTGATACCATCCTTATAACCATTTGTGCGTGACAATCTCTGGGCTGATTTGCATAATTCTATGCACCATCAAATGCAAATGTGTTTACATTAAGTGCTCAATACTGAGTAGCACTTAAATTCTTCATGGAGGCACTGTCCTTGACCCAGTTCCCAGTTTGCATTTTAAATCAGAAACCTTTTTAAATCATGGATTTTTAAGTTCAAAGGTCTAATGTAGGAATAATAACTTTTCACTTGGCAGCCAGGTTCTACTGCCATTAGCTGAGGTAGGGAATGCATCAAAGTAAGACTTGGCAAAGAATGATGGCTTGCTTATAAACATTTAAATTAAAAGCAGACCTATTGTGCTTATATTCAGATTAATATTTGTATTTTGTGCCTCAACTGTGACATGCTTTAATGTTCAAAAAGGTCTTTATTTTTCTGCACCTCTTTTCACCCTCTGTCTGAAACCAGAGCCCAGTCTGCTCTGATTGGTTAGCTGGCCAGCTCTGTGAGAGAGTGTGGGAGAGAAACTACCTCTGGAGGCAAGCCCCAAAAAGCATCATAGGGACTCTTTAGAAACTGACATGGTTGGAAAGAAACGTTGTGTAACCTACAACAAAGAGTTGGCTGCTAATCTAACAGACTGGTGGATCGCTGATATAAGCACAATTGCTAAATGATTTCTTCCCTTGTAAAGACACAGCGTTACTAAGCAGGCCAGCGCAGGTCTTACCGTCCAGCTCCCTCTCGATGAAGTCCATCCTGTGTGAGACCTCGTCCTGCACTGCGTCGATGTGGTCCAGCAGGTTGATTTGCCTCTGCTGGTGCTGCCTGCTGTTATCTGCAGCCTCGCCGGGGTCTCTGCCCGCCTCCTCCCTCGTCTCTGCCTGGGACCACGAGCCCCCCAGAGCAGCCTGGAGACGATCGGGAGAAATCATCAGGCAAGACACTCAAGCTGCCAGTTCAATTCACTCTTTGAAGTTCTTAAATGTTATTTTATTGGAGGTTTTACTTTCAATTTCTCATGTTCATATAAAAGAGACTTTATTTCATTTATTTTATTTTCAT